AGGAGGTAAAGGATGGAAGCAAAGGAGAAGGCAAGGAAAGCCTTCAGTCCTGTGGTATGATTAACACCCAGGAAATACCCTGGACCACCTATGAATTAACTGTACTGCTCGTAAATTCAGGAAGATTTCTAACAAGTAGCATTAAAAGAACCCCCTGACTAATCCACAGGTCGGTTGTTTTCTCAGCCTACAACTGGTGTCCTGTACAAAGAGGATAACTACATTATAATGACCACTGTGGACAAAGAGAAGTATAAATGTCTGCTTCCGCTGATAGCAAGTGGCAGTGAGGTAAGTTCAGTCGTGTCTTTACTGGAGTTAGAAACTGCAGGCGAGTCTTTACGGTGTCTTTTCAGTTCCCCCCCTCCCTGCCTCAAATCAAGACTTTTTATTGCATGTAAAGGAGAATCATGTACAGAATGCCTCAGAGCTTCGCAGTTCGTGGTGGATGCCTTCACTTTGTGTTACGTACTAGCTCTGTGCTAAGTGGGGCCAGTCTGAACACTCTTGAAGTCCTTATTCAGCAACAGATGATTGCTGTAATGTTCTGTGTATCGCTAGCATGGGGAAATGCTTGTATTCCATGTCAAACTCCAGGCCAGAAAGCAACTCTAAAGGTTGTTAACACTGCTATCATGGTTACTGCATCTGTAAATACTATCCCAGGAGTGGTTCTACCAACGGTAATTTTTATTCTTCGCCATTGCTTCCTCAGTTGGACATCTGGATGCACAATTTGGGGTTTAAATCAAATTTTAAATAGATATAAATACATTTGTACAGAAAAGGTAGGTTGAGGAGGCCTTTGGTGAGGTTTATCCTTGGTCTTTTATTCCTCCAAAGGTTCAGGGTGTGAGAAGCACCCTGAGAACTTGCACAGATGAGCTGTACTCCTGTGGTAGGACCTCCCATTTTGACACAGCCCTGATCCTGTATGTGACTGACAGCACAGAGGGCTTCAGGCTAGGTGACAAGTCTTTTGTACTGAAGAACTTGGAGTGGAAATCTCTTCAATAGCATGCACATTTACAGAGCAAAAATGATGCAGAAATAAACCTCCACGCTATTACCTCTGCTTTTTTCATCCATTTTTTTTTAATTACATAAAAGCTGTGTGATGTCCCACTTATGCTGCATCAGCATTGACTAACAAATGAGAAGCTGCTTGGTGCTGTTTGCCTGTGCACACCCCACCCTGCCACTGTGGACACAAGCAAGTGGGGAGCTCCTGCTCTTTCACCATTTCTAAGCCACAAAACAATTCTGGTTTGACTACTTCATTTGTGACTTTTACTTGCCCCTTATTCAATGATCTTTTTTTATCCCTAATTACCACACGGCTCCTTCAGGGCAGGAATTAATGAGGGTTTGTACCTTTTAATTTTGCAATCAGATTTTTGGTTTGTTTTTTTACTTTTTCAAATGAATATAAACTAAACAAACTATTGTTAATTTAAATGTAAGGAAATGTACTTCTATTCTAGGAAGAAGAAAAAGACTATAAAGGTCCTACTCCAGGAGAGTTACTGGAACCACTTTTTAAGCAAAGTAGCTGTTCATACAGGGTATGTTACTTCTGTGTTGATAACTCAAATGCTAATCAAAAGTTTACAGTCCATTGCAAGGTTTAGTGTAGTAAACTGATTGGATAAATATGTCTCAGACTTTAGGTACTAATTCAGCACAAAATAAGATCTCTACAACTTTATGACTCTCTAAATATGCTGATAAAATTCTATATAATTGAAGATGTCAGGATTCAAATAAATGGGGTTGATCTAGTAGCGATTTAAAAACATGGGTTTAAAATACTTACTTCCAGGAATCAAGCCGTAATGTGTGACAGCCTAATGAAAAGTGTTATAAGACCAAACCAAACATGCTTCTACATACTCTGGAAGTTTTCTAGTTTTCCATCAACTGTCATCCCAGTTCAAGACTCATGTCTTACGTTAAAGAAGAAGCCTAATATCAAAGCACCATGGTACAGAGCCCAGGAAAGTGGCTGAATATTTACACTTATGCAGCATCCCACTGAAGTCCTTAAAGAAGGGAGTGTGTCAAGTGCAGTTGGTAAACAGCCTGTATCAATGACAGTTGTCAAAACCAGTCTGTGCAGAGTCACTGCAGCTTAGCCCCAGTGGTTTAGGGGAAAGTTGAGCCTTTACCTCTTATTTAACTATTTTCCTTTCATTTACATCTGTGCAAAAGTCAAGGAAAATGCCCGGTGTGTTTATTTGGAACATCAAAATGCTTGGGGAACAATGAGACCATTCACTGTGCTGTTGTTTTGGAGGGTGCCCAAGCCCATCTGCTTGGGCTGCGTTTCCTTGTTGCAAAAGCCAGAATTTTAGGAGAATCTGGAGTGGGGGAGGATGTATCTAAACAACAATCTGTTTATTTTAAGATTGAATCTTACTGGACATATGAGGTCTGCCATGGCAAACACATCCGCCAGTACCATGAGGAGAAGGAAACAGGACAGGTAGGCTTCTGCACATTGAGCAGTCTCAACCCCCTTTTCCACTGGCATGTTCATGCTTAACTCCTCCTGAATTCCTGTACACTTGAAAAAGGATGGAAAATGGTAACTGCGGTCTCTTTTAACTTCTTTTGATTGTAGAAAATAAACATCCAAGAATACTATCTGGGGAATATGATGATGAAGAGCCCATTATCGGAAGCAGGTTGGTCTTGGATTATTTTATTTTGCTTGTGCTAATAAATTGTTGGGTTTTAATTATTACTGCCTGAGGAGTAGGCTGTACAAAACTGATTCCCAGTGCAACAGCATAGAATTTTTTAGATTACTTGTTACAAAATGTACTGTTTTCAGTGAATGCCTTTTAGCACCTCACATTGCATCCATCCTGCCAGTTTTGCCATGCTAATTGATTAGATTGGAACTAGATTATCTTTAAGGTCCCTTCCAACCCTAATCATTGTATGATTCTCTGATTAGATGCACTAATCTGCAATAATTTGTGTCAGGGAAAGAAACCACATAAGAAATGGATAGACCAGACTTTGATAATACAGTCCCTTGCTACTGTTTGGGTGGGGAGAAGTTTCAAGCTGTGAGCAGCGGGCAGTATCTTGGCCCCTGCTTTACAACAGTCTGCAAATGCAAACGCTTACATCCTTTGCAGGTAGATTTGATCTTTGGAGCTGTTTGAGGGTCTTTTGGTGGGGGGGGATCCTGGTGCAGATCTTGAGAAATACTGAAGTGGGATTTTGGTGGGAATTAGGTAGCTGAGCCCCAAACTCAAACTGCAGTTTAGATTAACTAATCTTCTGGGCACTTGCATTTTTTTGCCTGTAAAATACGGTAGATGCTGGAAGTTCTGTGGTTGTATCTGCCAATATCTGCTTTGTGGGTGAGCATTTTGGAAATTATATCAATCCAAAGAGCTCTTAAAAATGCACAGACAAGCATTCATTCATCAGCTGATAGAAAAAACATCATCTAGGTTGGTGGTTTTTAATTCTGGATTAGTATGTAAAAGGTGTCACCACGTTTTTCTCTTCCTACAAGTGATTAACACAAAAGCCTCAGTCTTGGAGGGGATTTAGTGCTTTTAATCCCATTCTTTTGAATTCCTTCAGCCTTCAGTTAGAGATCCTAGTCCTGAAAAGAAACATGGCTTCAGAAACTGCCTTGGTTGGCATTTCTTTACTAGTGAGTTACAGTGCTTGTTTGTGCTGCTGTTAACTCTGTGAAGAGGTGCCTAATTCTCCCTAGGTGCTGGGAGATGCTGGTTAATTTGAATTCCCAATTCTTTTTGTGGGGCTGGTTGCTGAAGTTATGTGTGATAATACTTCAAGTAATCTGAGTCTTTTTGGATGTTGACCCTCTGTGCTTTCTGCTTAGGTGGCAGACTGTTCTTTCTGTGCTTCCTACATAGCAATTCACACTACTTTAAAAGAGTAGATGGTTTCTCAAACCACGGTGAGCTGAATGCACAAGTCTGAGACAGTAAATTTGGATCAGCTAAATGGGTGATGGCAAAGCAGAGAGGCCTTTTTCTCACCTGACTCTGAATGGAGCCCTGAAGCAGTTCGGAAGGCTGAGGGACCTGAGGGGTTTAGTGTGGAGAAGAGAAGGCTCAGGGGGGACCTGATCGCTCTCTGCAACTGCCTGACAGGAGGATGGAGCCAGGAGGGGGCTGGTCTCTGCTCCCAAGGAACAAGGGATGGCACAAGAGAAAACAGCCTCAAGCTGCACCAGTGGGGGTTTAGCTGGAGCTGAGGAACAATTCCTTGCCCAGAGGGTGCTCAGGCATTGGAACAGGCTGCCCAGGGCAGGGCTGGAGTCACCGTCCCTGCAAGTGTTCACAGCCCGTGGAGCCGAGGCCTCAGTGCCAGGGGTTAGTGGTGGCCTTGGCACTGCTGGGAATGGTTGGACTGGATGAGCTGAAAGGTCTTTTCCAGCCTGGTTGATTCTGTGTTCCTCACCTGCGACAGCAACCCCAGCCCCATAAGGATGTTTACTCTCAGGATCATTAGTCTGGCATGCAGTCTGGCCTCACTTCTTCCTAGGAGTGTATCCTCTGAGGCTGGCTAGTGGGTGAGCTGAAGAACTTGCCTGTTTACTGTCCCAGCCTGTAATCCACTCACCTTGAGAAGGGCAGTCAGCTGCCCCTCAAAGAACAGCAGCAGTGACATGTTCTCCTGCCCTCACTGGCCTTCCTTTGGTGCAAGGGCTGGATTTGGCCTCTCCTACAAACTCAGAGTTGTTTTGGGACGATGCTTGTTCCTTTTTTGTTCTGTTTGCACTGGACCCCAGATCACTGTTTATTTCCTTTCTTTCCTCTTTTGCACCTGCAAGTTATGAAATTGACTCTTGGCAGCATATACACAAAGTACTAGCAAATACCCAAAGCATATATGCTTCTCTGTATGTAATTTCATTTTACTTCAAGTTCACCTCATTCTCAATTATTCTCTAGATCAAGAAGAGAAGGAAAATCCCAAAGAGACTGCAAAAGAGGCAAGTGAAGAACATCTATTTTAACTTTTGCCATCAATAGTGGAGACAATTCATATATGATGAGATTCTGGTACCAGTTCCCTGCCAAAATGAGAATCAAAACATGAAACTTTGTTCTTGAGCTACATTCTTCTTACTTTTGATTCTCAGTCCCAGCTCAGGAAGCCTATTTAATCTGGTTAGTCAAACTTCTTGCCCTTCTACTTACTTACTTTAAAGTTATACTAATCTTAAATGAGATGAATTATGTAGTCTTCTACTATGAAGACAATAAACATAACTACAAATTCACACTATGGTCTAGTGACCATTTTCCTGCTGTCTCAGTAATCCCAGTTTGGATCCATTTTGGGCATGGAGAAATGCTTAAAATCCTACAGCACAAAATCCCTAGAAGATATCTTAGCTGACTTGACCCGTCCCATAAAACTTTGTGTTTCCCTCTTCCATTAGAGAACTTTGCTGTTTCTGTAGGCCCCAAAACTCAATTCTGAGTTACTAACTTGACAGCAAAACAATGGAAGTAGCTGCAGCACGTTGGCGTTTGGAATTTGCAATAGCAGATCTGACCTGTGGGCAGACAGACACCTACCTTATTGCCAGTTATCCTTCATTTTAAATCTCAAATCAATTTTGTGTCTGTGTGTTCCTTGCAATGCTGATTTACATAGCACAGAGTGGTGGTTCTGCAGAGGATCTCGGAAGGTACACTTGCCAGATAAGAGTTTTGGAGGGAGTTGGGGGAGCAGACCCAAGTCAGAATGTGACCCATTCTAATGGCAGTGGCAGTTAATGCCTCTTGGAAATTCAAACTAAGTTCCTTGCAATGTAAATTATTTTGTATTTTAGAGGAAATTGTCTTTTGTTGACTTTTTTTTGACAGTTTTTCTGGTATCCATACACTGTCTTGGTTTCAGTCCATAAAGAATTTAGACATAATTTGCATGAAATCTCTGGTCATGAAAGGGAAGGAACACATAAACCGTAACATAGCTGGGCGGTGCTTCAAGCAACTGCCACAACGAAGAGGTTTAGCTGAAGTCCTACTGTGTGCCTTTCATTTGTGGGCAAACCACAGGTGTCTGCATTTAGATTTCTTGAAGTTGCCTTCAGTGAAATGTGTAGGCATAATTTTTCAATTTTGAAAGAAAAACCAGTTGTTTCATTGAGAAAGGCATAAAGGGAAGGCACTGGTACCCTTTTTATCAGCTCTTTTGTACACAAACAGAATGTATCTTCATTTCCCACCTTTGAATATTGAAGTATAGAGTTAAGCGATTGGAAGCCAAGAAGTGCCCACCCAGTTAAGCTGCTGCCATGTTCATTCTTTAAGCTCATGAATGTCTCATTGCTTCATTCACGGTGGGTCAGTTTCAGGAGAGAGGCAGTAGCCTGTGACAGGGTAGCATGGTTTGAGAACCAAAATAAGTGAGATACAGAAAGTTCTCAGGTCCCCAGGTTAGTGTCCTGGCCACAGAAGGCACCACCACCTTTTAGCAAAGGTGATCTGTTGTACACTGCAAACCTTTACTAGCTCAAGCAACACATGTGGAAAAAGGTCTAGTCTGTGGGTTCCAGCATGGCTTTTGCACAAGCAGAACTTTTGGTACCCAGGAACTTCAGCTGCTTCCAAGACTGGAGCCCAGAGAGGGATTTTTACCAGTTTGGGGAATTGATTTCTTAAAGTGGAAGCTGGATGAAACATAGGAAGAGCCAAGTCTGAAGAGAGCTTACTTAATCCCACTTCTGTACACACTTTAACCTTGTATTTATCATTAGCTTTGTTAGCCACAGTAACAGCTGGTGTGGGATACTCCAAATAAGGAACAGCCCAGGCTGGGAATGCCAAGAGGTGTAGTGCAGGCATCACTTTGCAGGGGTGTTTTAGAGTCTTCAAGCCCTGGCACTGAGGTGAAGGTAACGGGCCTGGCCAGACCTGAGCTGAGTCTGGCAGAGCTACTCTCATCCCCCTGTCTCCTGGACCGCAGGGTGAACACAGCTTGCTTGGTGCTCTTCCAAAACACTGCACCCAGCTGGCAAGCTCACTTAGAACTGAAACATCAGGCAGCCCATGCAGAGAAACCACCTGCTTTTGTAGTCAAAGCTCATGTGTAGCTCAGTGGAGTTGTGCAGGGTATGGAGTTAATAAACCAGAGCATGTTTGCATGTTGCAGAAACACCAAGTGACTACACAGGGACTGGTTTCAATGCTGTAATGCTCACTCTGCACAGTGTAATCAGATCTTTTGTTTCAGAAGAGTCAAAGGAGCTTTATTCATCCTCTTGACTTTCTACTTTCTTTCACCTAGATACCTACCAAAAATATAGAAGGGCAGATGACCCCATACTACCCTGTGGAAATGGGAAATGGCACACCTTGTAGCTTGAGGCAGAACCTACCCAGGTCAAGTACAGTGATGTACATCTGTCACCCAGAAGCTAAACATGAGATCCTTTCAGTAGCAGAAGTTACCACCTGTGAATATGAAGTGGTTATATTGACACCTCTGCTCTGCAGCCATCCTAAATACAGGTACAGTACTCAAACTTGGCTCAAATCACTTCAAACTGTCATCAGTTGCCACACATGTATGTGCTTCTGTAAGCCACACACCCAGCTGTGGTTTCTGGTACAGACCTGTGACACTTGTATATACTTTGGCAAGTGCAGTTTTGCCAAGTCTTAAGTTTTCAGGTTAAATTGCACAGTCTTTGCATTTTGTAAATCTCTAGTGATTGAGAAGCAGATGGGATATAACTATTTCTAACAGGTAAGTTCCTAGCCCTCTCACTCTGGAGAAACACAAACTAGGGCATTAAGGCTGCAGGCAGATTAACAACACCCTGTCTCCTTATAGCTCGTAATTTCAAGGTCTGGGGGATCATCTTCATGGGATTCAAGGACTGCAGACTTCATATGTATGTTGTATGTGTGCATAGACTTCAATTTCTGTCATTTCAGAAAACAAAAGTATGGTCTTCAGGCATAACCTTGATGCTATTTTAGTTTAGTCCCAATATAAGGAGCTCCCATCTGCCTCTGTCCTGCTTTACTGCCTTCAGCTGTATAAGTCATTTTCATATGAAACATTCACACTTTCAGTGTTTCTTTCCAAAATTAATCTTAGGATTTCCCCTTCTGCCCCCAAATCGTGGCATGCACCTATGGATTACATTTAGTCTCAGTCATACAGCTTGTTGACCTTTCAAGAGGTGTAAACAAAATTGCAAAGTGAATCTGACATACAAATGAAGGGGGAACTAGTGGCAGGAGTTCTGAATCTCCCACATACACGGATGTCAGAACAAGTGAAGATTTAATCACTGCTCTGAAATAGGCAAGAGAGTCTAAAGAACAAAATCCTCAGTCGTGTGTTTAATAAACACTTGCTAGTTGGAGTAAATAAGTTATGCTATTAAATATTTAGTATCAGTTGTACATTCTCTCATGAAGATGGGCATGGCAACGCTATGTTATCTGCTGTGCTTCTCTCTTACACTGTTATCTGTTTACTATATGAGTCTTAAGCCACTGTAATATCAGTAGAAAACTAGAAAGTGCAGAGGCAAGTTGTTCTATTGTTTGATAAGGACAAATCTTGAGCTGCTCCCTCCTCCCAAAGGGCAGGCAGGGAAAGCTTCCTGGCCACTACCAGGAAATGCTTAAAATAAACATAAAGGTCTTTGTTATCGCACTTACATCATCTCAGTTAAATAAAGACGGGTGGAGATGGCAGGCTGAAAGTGCTGCTCAGCTGAGGAAGCAACAAACCAACTTCATTTTAAATTAAGAGCACTTTTCCTGTCATGTGTCCCTCAAACAGCACTGAGCAGTACTTCAGCCACCAGTGCTCTTCCCGTTCTCTTACCCAACAATGCACTTGCATTAACTGAGCAGAAGTGTTTCCATTAGTTCTTCTCTGGGTACAGTCTGAAGGGTTTTAAAACTGGTGGGAACTGGGGACAGGGAAGGAGACAGTGTAATATTTGTAATGTATTTGTCTGCTCTGACTATTAGTGCTGTTTAAATAAAATCCAGATAAACCCAGGCTCCTTTGGTAGAGGGCCTGTTTAACCTAGAATGCAGATATAATTTGTGAACTGTTTTAAGGTTCTTTTAACTATAGTGGTGATTATTATACAACTAGTGCTGTGTATTACAGCCTTTTCCTAGGAGGACATCACCAAAGGCCACCTTGCTCCTGAAGCAGTATCTGCATGTTTGGTTTATAAATAAGCTTTCTCTAAAAAGGACCTTTTCAAGGAGAGGAGCAGGGAAAGCTGCACAAATGCTTCGTTTCAGTATGATTCTTATTGTGATGTTCACTTCACTTTACTATTTCCTATTAAGGCTTATTTGGTGCTTTAACGAGGCCTTTATTTGTGTAAACTAAGGAGAAAGCTGTGTGGACTCTGCTTCATCTCTTTACTTTTTCTTTCCTGAAATAAGCTGCTTTTTGCAGACATAGAACCCCAGACTGGTTTGTGTTGGAGGGACCTTAAAGCTCCTCCAGCTCCAACCCCTGCAACGGGCAGGGACACCTTCCACTAGAGCAGGTTACCCCAAGCCCCTGTGTCCAACCTGGCCTTGAACACTGCCAGGGATGGGGCATGAAGAGAGTGGTAAAGGAATAATGGGTATATGTGCACTATGAAAAGCCACATGTCAGGCAATACAAGAATGTATGATTTTAATGATACAGGAACTGCATCTATCAAGTTTAACCTTTCCTGTTTCCTGGCTTCTGAGAGTTTTATATGACCTCGACACTACATTCATAGTTCATGTATAGTGCAGTTTTCCTTTTAATATGCAGCTTTTCCTTTTGATGAAGAGGGGCTTGATCACATTTCCAGTCATCTGACAGCATTAAGAGTGAGACTGCACTGGGTGAAAAGCATATTTACATCAGTTGTAAGAACAGTGTAGCTTTGGCTGAGATGGTGCAAGTACAAGAAGGAAAATACACACCTCAGCCAGAAACTTAGAGTAATAGTAAAAGTGTGTCTTGTCTTCAAGGCATGGTAAGTGATGTGTGGTTCACTTGTTTGGACAGGTTCAGGGCCTCTCCTGTGAATGACATCTTCTGCCAGTCTCTGCCAGGATCCCCACTTAAGCCCCATAATCTGGAACAGCTGGAGAAACAGCAAGAGATGATGAAGATGCCTTTTAGAAGGGTTAAGGAGGTAGGATTTGTTTTGTTTTAAATAGAAAAAAACCCCTTATTTTCCATGCTGTAACACTTTCACTTCCATGGAGTAAATTCTCTTCCCAAGCTTTGTAAGACCACATCATGCTTCTAGATGGTCTCCAAGCTTGTTGAAGTCATCTGTAACTTCCCTTGTTTGGAATGAAAACAAAACAAGAAAGTTTGGGCTACTGATTTTGTAGCCTTTGTAGCCTATGGTTTACAATTGTCTGAAGTTTTTGACTTTGGCTCTTTTTTTCTCAGCTACGCTAAAGACAGTGGAAATAATGACAAAATTCTTTCATACTTGTTCCCACAGCCACCTCACTCAGTATTAAGTAACTTCACTTAATTCATATGACTTTGCAAGTGCCTTATGAAATCTAAATGGGTGTATTTGTGTAAAATTCCATTTCAGGAAGAAATGCAGTCAACAAAAGAAGAGAAATTTTCTTCCATTCACAAGCCTGTTGCTGTTGGAAGCCATCAGCTATTAACCGTGGGAACAACCCACATCTCCAAACTGACTGATGACCAACTTATAAAGGAATTTCTTAGTGGTTCCTACTGCTTCCATGGGGTGAGGAATAAAGCTACATAAAATCAAGTAGCTACTCCTTCATTGTATGACTGGTTTATGTGTTTAATTTCTCCATGACGTATGATAGCTTCATTCTGATACACCTAATACTTGCCTCTCCCTGCACTGATAGAGGGAAGGCTTATATGCCAGGAAGGTTTCTTTAACCTTTCTGTTGAAATTCAGTTTATTTGAGCAGCCAGTGAAATGAAAGTAGATCCTGAGAATTGCTCAGTGCTGATTTGGTTGATGAGAAGGAAAGAACTCAGATAGATAAAACTTACTGAGAGAACAGCCAGCAGAGCAAAGGCATCTAAAGTTGTGCCTGTCTTTGAAAGAGGGAAGTATTTCTTTAAAGGATAAACAGGGAGTATACACTAGTTTAAGGAATTTAGTCCTACATGGCTCTTCCAAGCTTAAACTTGGCTTAAACTCACTTATTCCATCCCTTCCCTGTATCAGTCTGATAAGAGATTCACTCTCAGTGCCAACCATGAATCAGCACATCTAACTAACAGGTATGGAAGTTGACAGCTAAAATCAACAGTGGTTTAGGGTCTGAAGGGAAGTGGACAGGGCTCTTTTAGGGCATTTTGTCTGGTTTGTGGGTTTCTGCTTTGTTTTAACACTGAGATGATCCCTCTCCCCAGGGTGTCGGTTGGTGGAAGTACGAATTCTGCTACGGCAAATACGTTCACCAGTACCATGAGGTATGTTTAAATAGTTTCATGTTCTGCCCCTGGGTGTCTGTGGGGGAATAAGGGGTTAGAGAATGTGCATAGTCTGAAAAAAACAGCTTCCTGTTCTGGGCTGATTTAAGTTGGATTTCAGGAAATAAATCCTCTGTGTGCAGCCTGAGTTCGTGCAGGGGGATGTAGGTACCATGTCACGTAGAGCTGACATTCTACACATCATTTACAGTGTGCTCGCTGCTACATGTTTAATACAAGGTATAATTATCAGCTTCCCCTTTTGTAGGACAAGGAGACTGGCAAGACTTCTGTGGTGGTGGGTACGTGGAACAAGGAGGAACACATTGAATGGGCCAGGAAGAACGCTGCTAGAACATATCATCTCTGGGAAGATGGCACGCAGACGGTTCGGTATGGGTACATCACCTTCATCACTGCCCTCATGCTTGCCATAGAGAGCAATAACCATCAGGGCCACTTCTGCAGTGTGTGAATGTTCAGTTTACAAATAGATACAGCTGTCAGGAGCAGTGTATGTAGATACTTGGTTTATTATTATTTCCCCCTCATGAACATGCAACACCAGAAAAGGTAATTCAAGACTTGGGAGATTTTTCTCTGTGTCATATCTCTGAATAGGTATTTGCTTCTGCAGTCACTGAAATACAGTGTTACTTCTTTGGTTTGTATATTAGGGTTAAATAGAATTATTATATATATATATTAAATAGAATTATAATATATAT